ACTAAATTGACTCTTTTTGTCTTGGAAATGAATGTTTAATCAGTTAAGATGCTGAAGTCGAGGGAGAAGCCTTAAGCATATTTAATTTTGTAAAAGGAGCCTGAAGCCAATATTGTACAGGCCTCCTGATGGCAGCCATACCTTGAAAACCGAAGAACCAACTCCCACACAAGCTGGGAGACCACGCAGGCTGGGCAGGGGACCAAAAGGAGCTGGTGACCTCTGGCATCAGAGCCAAGAGGGCCTGGTGTTCATGAGAGGGCTGTCAAATGCCTTGGTGTCAAATGCCACTGCTCCAGGGACCACTTCCTTGACACAGCGCGGCCTATGCAGAGGGCACCTGGTCCTCGGGCCATCCTCTGTGTCCCCGGCGGCCGGGCAGCCAAGCTGCTTCACCCCTTGGGCAGCTGCTAAAAGCTGAGAGTACATGGTAGGGGACAGAGCTGGGGATGAATCCTGGTTGGGGGACTTAATAACTATGTCATACTCATTCATTCATAAAGTACATAAACTATTAATACCAGGATCAGGTTATCACTTCCCCTGGGAAGCAATAACCTCACATCTGAGCCAGGCGCCTCCTCTTTGTGATTTTAATTAATTAATTACTCTGCATCATGTCTTCAATGCAGCACGCGGGATCTTTGTTGCAGCATGTAAACTCTTAGTTGGCCGGGTGCCACTTCTAGCTGCATAGAGCAACATGCACTGATTCCATCAGAGGATTTACTACATGTTCAGAAGTGGGCTCCTCACCTGTCTCTCTACCTGTGCTAGTTGCTCCTCAAGGACATCTTGTAGGTCCAGAGTTCAGAACAAGGTCTGGTACCTAGCTGGCTCTTAATCAAGACTGATCACTGTGGTTAAGCCCCAAAATAGCCCCTTTACAATATCAGATTCTAATCCCTGGAACCTGTAAATGGTTCTGCATTTGGGGAAAAAAAGAGTCTTTGCAGATGTGATTAAAAGTTAAGGCTCTAATGTATGACAAAACCCACTGAAATGTTGTGAAGTAATTAGCCTCCAACTAATAAAAAAAAAAAAAAGTTAAGGCTCTTGGGATAGGGAGATGATCCTGGATTAACCCTTTATGTTGTAAGTTCGTAAGCATCCTTATAAGAAAGGCAGAGGGAGATTTCACTGACAGAAGAGAAGGCGATGTGATGACAGACAGAGACTGGAGTGATGTAGCCACAAGCCAAGGACAGCCAGCGAACACAGGAAGCTGGCAAGCACGAGGTGGATTCTTTCCCAGAGACCCCGGAGGAAGGTCACCCCTCCCGACACGTTTCTTAATCCAATGATACAGATTTTGGACCTCCATCTTCTAGAGCTGTGAGAGCATAAATTTCTGTTGTTTTCAAGCCACAGTTTGTGACCATTGTTACAGCAGCTGCAGGAAACTAACAATCACCTACCTGCTCTAAGTCTCCATTTCCTTATTGCACTCGTTCCTGCCTCACTCAGCACTCGGAAGAGTTATGTGAGACAATGTGTGTAAAGCTCCCTGCATGGCGCTTCACATCTCGGGGGTCTGACACAAACTGCAGCATCACCCACATAGCATGCGTGTCCACACACACTCACACACACACACACACCTTCAAGCTTCAGCTCAGACAAATTTAAAACAATTGTTGGGCTTCCCCGGTGGCTCAGTGGTAATAAATCTGACTGCCAGTGGAGGAGTGTGCATGCAAATGTGTGAGTGCTCAGTTGTGTCCGACCCTTTGCAATCCCATGGACTGTAGCCCACCAGGCTCCTCTGTCTATGGGATTTTTCGGGCAAGAATACTGGAGTGGGTTGCCATTCCCTACTCCAGGGGATCTTCCTGACCCAGGGATCCAAACTGTGTCTCTAGCATCTCCTGCATTGGCAGGCGGGTTCTTTACCTCTGATGCCAATGCAGGAGACACGGATTCAATCCCCAGTCTGGGAAGATCTCACATGCTACAGAGCAACTAAACCCGAGCACCAGAACTTCTGAGCCCACACTCCAGAGCCAGCGCTCTGCAGCAAGAGAAGCCTGAGAAGCAATGAGAAGCCTGTGCACCACAACGAGACAGTAGCCACCGCTTGATGCGACGAGCGAAAAGCCTGCGCAGCAAGGAAGACCCAGCATAATCGAAAGTAGATAAATAAAAGTATTTTTTAAAGATACTTTTTTAAAACAACTGTCTTTTTAGCATATGGTCCCAATGGATGGACATGTTCTTAATTGGTTTCCCACTCGGCCTGGCAGCCTTCCTCTGGGTAAGATAGTTTGGCTTACCTTTCATTTCATAACGAGGGAATAGAAAACCCAGTGAACCGTTGATAACTCTCACTAATGGAAGAATTAAAGCGACCTGAATTTGTGAAGCATCTTAAACATGCACTAGTTTTAAAGGAATCTGGAAAATGACTGCAAAGTGCCTATCTGGACTAAGCTCAACAAAGGCATTTCCTAGGCGAAGGGATCAGGGGGTCATCTCTGATAAACAGATAATCTCTTTTGTAATGATCAGAGCTCTTATAACCAGGTGACCCTACCAAGTTACCTGTGAGTATCTAGAGCCTATTCCTTTAGGTAAGTGAGCCTTATGGGAAAACACTACCACTGGTTACAGTGGGAACTCATTTTTATGACTAATAATGACAATAGCAAATATTCCCTGATTGTTTACTCTCTGCCAGACATTTGCTGAGACTTTACATACATTATCTCAGATACCTGTCACTGCAAGAAAAGAGGATTGAAGCTCAGGATGTGGGGCTGGGGTTAACACTAGTCTGTGGGATGTCAGAGCCTATGCACTAACCACTACCCCGCACTGTGTCCGCTGAAGACTAGCATCCCAGGCCAGTGACACTGTGACCCAGAACCCCAGGCATACGCACCCCTGCATCCATGGGCCTCCCCAGGGCACACGACAGAGATGTCAGTCGGGCCCTGCCCTCACCTGGGTTACCACAAATCCTGAATCAGGACCGTCTAGAGTCGTGAAGTTTTTGCTAGGAAATTAGCTGGGCAAGCAGTTAAGGCAAAAGCATTATAACAAAGTGGAATTAAAACCACACATTGTGGAATCTGCAGGTCTCCGAGAGAGAAGGGGAAGTGGACGATCTGCATTATTTATGGGCTTGTTTCTCAAGAAATGGAGCAGCAATTTCCACTGAGCACTTTAGTGAGCAGTAGAAAATGTGGGCCTTGAGTTGGCTTCCTCCTGCCCTCCCTCTCTCTCATCTTCCCTCCTACGTCTCACCTAGCTTCACAAAAATAAAAGTGATGTGGCTCTTGAAAATACACAGAGTATGCCAGGTTGTTTTTCTTTTTCTTTTTAAGCAAAGAGATTTGGTGGTAATAAGAGTAAACAATAAATAAATAGAATATAGTCAAGATTGTTAGATGACAAACAATATAAATGAAGGTCTCAGACATCTGATAGAACTGGGCCACAAATTTGGCTGTGACCTCTGAACAGCCTTGGTAGGGATAAACATGATCCATCCAACATCATGTGATTCTTACAGAAATCAATTTAGCGGTACCTCCTGCCCTCCCACAGGTGTGTTTCTGACAAAATCAAGGACTGTTTTCCTCCTAGATACAGTGGTTGGTCCACGCATGCTATCATGGTCCTCCTTGGAAGACTCAAACTACCACCTCCCAGAGACATCAGAGAAGATGCTGGCTGCCGATAGCTGTCATGCCTGCTGTGTGGATGATACTAATGATATTGCTGGAGTTCCTGGATCCAGCCATGCCTGAAACCCTCTGTCCAGCCCTCAATACCTAGATATTTCAGTCTTTTTTTTTTTTTCCTGCATCAGCTTCTTTGAATTTTATTCTTGTCACTTAGGAATGAAGTTAAGAGGTATTACTGGCAATATAATATTAACTGTAAAGGAAAAAGCAAAAAGAAACATATACCCCAGTCATTCAGAAGAAGTACTAGAATTCCCTTAAGGAGGTTTTCCCCATTATACAAAAGAATTCTCTACTGACTTTCTATAGGTCTTGATTGTTCAAAGCAGCCATTCATGCTGAAAAATCACACCTTGCTCAGCATGGGATTCAGGATCTTTATGATCCAAGCCCTACTAATTCTTTCACATCCTCTCTTCCTGTGCAACTCCATGTTCTTTCTCTCCAGCCCAGTAGGAAGGACCCACATGCCACGCCTGAGCAAGACATGAGCCTCCTGCTTCTTGCTTTTGTACACGCTGTTCCCTCAGCCTGGAAGGTCCTTTCCTGCGCTGGTCTGCCTGCCAAAGCCTCTTCTATCCTCAAACTCTAAGTCAGTCATCACCTTCTTCCCTGCCAGCTGAAACAAGACACAATATTTTTAAAGTAATATGATTCCACTTATATGAAATGTGCAGAAGAGGCAACTATATAGAAACAGAAAGTAGATTAGTGGTTGCCGAGGGCTACAGATGGGGGTGGGGTTGGGAATGATGACTAAGGGGGATAAGGTTTCTTTGTGGAGTGATGAAAAGGTTCTAAAATAGTTTGTGTTGATGGTCACACAGCTCTGTGAATATTCTAAAAGCTACTGAACCGTATACTTTAAATAGGTGAATTGCATAGTAGGTGAACAATATTTCAATTTCAATAAAGCCTTTTTTTTGACCTTGCCAGGTAGCTTGTAGGATCTTGGTCCCCCAACCAGGAACTGGACCCAGATTCCCTGCAGTGGAAGCATTGAGTTCTAACCACTGGACCACCAGGGAATTCTCCTTCAATAAAGCCTATAAAGGTGAGACTATACTATTAAAATAATAATAAAACATAATACCAAGATATTACAAACAAAGCTTCAGAAGCAAGTAGCATGACATAAACTTCCCTCCACGCCACCCTCCACATTCTGTGGACCCCCATGCAAGTAACTGACAGAGCCCAGACCCTGCACCTGAGCAGAGGGTCCTCCTCAAGGCACTGGCATTCTGCTCCCTCTCGACTCCCTTCCCTGCTGTGACCTAGCAGGAACCATGGCGGGTAACAGGGACTCACCGTGGGCAGCTGGCCCGATAGCAGGTGGCTGTCCTGGGCCAGCATGTTGGACACCATGATGGCTGGGAGGTCCATGGCCTGGTAGGAGTAGGCAGGGAGCAGTCCGTTGGGTGCGAGGCCGTGGCACAGTGAGTGGTAGCCGGCTTCGTGGTCCCCCAGGTGCAGGAGGGATGGCTCAGGGAGGTTGGGAGGTGTTATTGGGGGGATCTCATAGTCTTCGTTGCTCTCGTTCTGGCTGTTGAAGCTCTAAAACATCAAAAGGGCAGGTTGTTGCAGGTCAATGTCATACAACTGCAGAACAGGCTTTTCAGCACCAGTGATAGTAACAATGAACACCCCTTAGCAAAGCAGAGAGGGGATGGTCCCTCTGCAAGGCACACAGTCAAGATGACGCAGTCAGACTCCTGACCCATCCCCAACGGGTGCTTCCTCCTACTGGACAGTCTGTATACAGAAACCTGCGCTCCTGGAGAGTGGGGCCACCACCTGTTCACCTGTTTTTCTGTTTTCCCACCAGATCTGGCCACTGCAGCCCACCATGAATTCATCTGTCTACATCCACCTATTTTACAGATGGAAGAACTCAGGTCCTGGAGGAAAGTGGCTCAAGTAGGATTAGTAGAAGAGCTAAGAGCAGAGCTGAAGTATCCTGACTCCATGCCTGGTGGTCTTCCAGGGCAGCTGGATGACTTTCTCTTGTGTGTCCCCAACTGTGTCCTCCCATCAGGTCTTCTCATCTCGGTAAATGGTACAAACATTCCCCCAGGAGCACAAGCTATTCCCCCAGGAGCCACACTGGACACTTTTCTTTCCAAATATTATTTGTTCATCTTCCCCACCTCATTCCACTGACCAGGAAGCTCCAGTACAATGCTAAATAGAAATGGTAAGAGTGGACACACTGCTTTTTTCCCTTAAGTATCTCAATATTTTACCACTAAGCACCCAGGTGGTGCTAGTGGTAAAGAACCTACCTGCCAATTCAGGAGGCATGATCCCTGAGTAGGGAAGGCATGGCAAGGAGGAGGAAGAGGGCATGGCAACCCAGTCCAGTATTCTTGCCTGGAGAATTGCATTGACAAAGGAGCCTGGCAGGCTACAGTCCATGGGGTTGCAAAGAATTGGACATGACTGAAGTGACCCAGCATGCATAATGTTTGCCATAGATTCTTATAGGTATTCTATAACAGGTTAATTGTACTCCTTCTTCTTTCAATTAGGCATCACATTTTAATTTTATTGAATTCTCTTCCCCTGCATCTACTGAAAGGCTCAAATAAGCCTTTTCTCCTTTAATTCAGTTAAATATGGTAAATTGTACACTTAGTTTTCTTAATGCAAAAGCAACCTTGTTAATTTTGTAATGAATTCGCACAGTAACAATATTGCAGTGTAACCCCTCCTACCTCAGAGTATGACTGTATTTTGAGAAGGGTTTTTAAAGAGGTAATGTTAAATGAGATCATTAGGATGGACCCTCATCTTATGAAAAGCTATACATTTTTTGTATAAACTATTAAAAAAATACATTTCCATTGTTTAAAAAAAAAAAGCAACCTTGTATTTCTGCAATGGACCCTACTTGGTCATAATATATTACTATTTTATCCATTATTAAATTTTGATTGCTGATATTTTGTTTAGGATTTTTGCATCTAGTTCATGAGTGGGATGGGGCTATGATTTTCCTTTTTCATACTGCTCTTATTGGGTTTCAGTACCAAGGTTATGTTAGCCTGGAAAATCATTCTTCCTTTTCTATGCTCTGAGAGTGATTAGACCTAGGAGAAGAGTTATATGTGAAATGCAAGATGGATCTGAGAAAACATGAAAGAGAAGTTTCAAGACATAGAGGAAAAAGTGAGGAAAAAACGGACATCTCTTTAATCAGCAGACTGGAGGGAGCAGAGGAATAACTGAAGAGACAATGACTAGGAATATTCCAGAACTGACGACGGACACTAGAGGTACTGGTGGATATGATGGTGACCTGTGGTCCCCTGTCTATGACAAAGGAGGCAAGACCATGTAACGGGGGAAAAACAGTCTCTCCAATAAATGGGGCTGGGAAAACTGGACAGATACATGTAAAAGGATGAAATTAGAACACTCTCTAACATAATACAAAGAAAAAACTCAAAATGGACTAAAGATCAAAATGTAAGACTGGAAACTCTGAAACTCTTGAGGAAAAGCATAGGCAGAACACTATTTGATGTAAATTGCAGCAAGATCTTTTTTGATCCACCTCCTACAGTAATAAAAATAAAACAAAAATAAACAAATGGGATCTAATTAAACTTAAAAGCTTTTGCACAGCAAAGGAAAACATAAACAAAGCAAAAAGACAACCCTCAGGATGGGAGAAAATATTTGCAAATGAAGCACCTGGCAAGGAATTAATCTCCAAAATATACAAATAGCTTTTGCAGCTCAATATCAACAAAAGAAATAACCCAGTCAAAAAATGGGCAGATCTAAACAGACATTTCTCCAAAGAAGACATGCAGATGGCCAGAAAGCACATAAAAAGATGCTCAACATCACTAATTATTAATGTTAGTGAAATGCAAATCAAAACTACAATGAGATTTCACCTCACATTGGTCAGAATGGGCATCATCAAAAAACCTATAAATGATAAATTCTAGAGAGGGTATAGAGAAAGGCAACCCTCCTACACTGTTGGTGGGAATATGAATTGATACAGCCACGATGGAGAACAGTATGGCGGGTCCTTAAAAATCTAAAAATAAAACTACCATATGACTCAGCAATACTACTCCTGGCCATACATCCAATGAAAACCATAATTCAAAAAGATAAATGCAACCCTATGTTGAAGATGAAACTCCTGATATGAAGAACTGACTCATTGGAAAAGATCCTGAGGCTGGGAAAGATTGAAGGTGGGAGGAGAAGGGGACGACAGAGGATGAGATGGGTGGATGGCATCACTGACTCAATGGACATGAGTTTGAGTAGGCTCTGGGAGTTGGTGATGGACAGGGAAGCCTGGCGTGCTGCAGTCCATGGGGTCGTAAAGAGTTGGACATAACTGAGCAACTGAACTGAACCCTGGTTCATAGCTGTGCTTTTTACAATAGCCAGGACATGAGCAAATGAAATGTTCATCAACAGACACATGGGTAAAGAAGATGTGGTACATATATACAATGGAATATTACTTAGCCATAAAAAAGAACAAAATAGTGCATTTGCAGCAACATGGATAGACCTAGAGATTGTCCTATTGAGTGAAGTAAGTCAGACACAGAGAGACAAATATCATGATATCACTTATATGTGGAATATTATTTTTTAAAGGGTACAAATGAATTTATCTGCAAAACAACATCAGATATGCAGATGATACTACCCTAATGGCAGAAAGCAAAGAGAAACTAAAGAGCCTCTTGATGAGGGTGAAAGAGGAGAGTGAAAGAGCTGGCTTAAGACTAAATATTAAAAAAACTAAGATCATGGCATCTGCCCCCATTACTGCATGGCAAATAGAAGGGAAAAGATGAAAGTAGTGACAGATTTCCTCTTCTTGGGCTCCAAAAATCACTGTGGATGGTGACTGCAGCCATGAGATCAGAAGACAATTACTTCTTGGCAGGAAAGCGATGACAAACCTAGACAGTGTGTTGAAAAGCAGACATATTACTCTGCCGACAAAGATCCGTAGAATCAAGGCTATGGTCTTCCCTCTGGTCACATACAGTTATGAGAGCTGGACCAAAAGAAGGCAGAATGCCAAAGAATTGATGCCTTTTCAACTGTGGTGCTGGAGAAGATTCCTGAAAGTCCCTTGGACAACAAGAAGATCAAACCAGTCAATCTTAAGGGAGATCAACCCTGAATATTCACTAGAAGGACTGATACTGAAGCTGAAGCGCCAGTATTTTGGTCATCTGGTGTAAACAGACAACTCATTGGAAAACTCCCTGATGCTGGGAAAGATTGAGGACAGAAGGAGAAGAGGGCATCTGAGGATGAGATGGCTGGATGGCACCACTGATGCAATGGACATGAAGTTAGGCAAACTCCAGGAGATGGTGAGGGACAGGGAGGCATGGCCTGCTGCAGTCCATGGGGTCACAAAGAGTCAGACACGACAGGGTGACTAAACAACAACAATGGTGGAGTGGGGACCACATGGTCTCTAAAACCCCTGCAGGGTGTCAACACCTTTCTCCTCGGGTGCCTGTGGTTTGAACCTCACCACAACTTGTGGAGAAGAACTCTAGACTGTTCTTTGAGGAGCATGCAAGCATACTCAGTCATGTCTGATTCTTTGCAACCCCATGGACTGTAGCCTACCAGGCTCCTTTGTCCATAGGACTTTTCAGGCAAGAATACTACAGTGGGTTGCCATTTCCTTCTCGAGGGGATCTTCCCAATCCAGGGATTGAATCTGCCTCTCCTGTGCCTCCTGCATTGGCAGGTGGATTCTTTACCACTGAGCCACCTGAGAAGCCAGACTGTCCTTGATAGTCACAGAAACATGCTCTGAGAGGATAGTGCCTTGCGACATTCATGCCCAGCCCTTAGACCCAGACCCCAAGCCACCTCTTGGTCATTGGCTCCCTCTGCAGGGATGTTGTGAGATTATTTCATATTATAGGCAAATAGCAGTCTAAGAAGCAGTGACCCTGTTGGTGGGAAAGGGCACTGGCAGCCCTACAGAATAGGACTCAGTCTTCCCACACCAAGATCTGGCTCTTTCCTACCATCTGAAGTTGCTTCCAAGAGCTGGGCCAAGCTCACATGTTTGGGGACCAACCTCTGCCTAGCTGCCCTATATGCATACACCCAAAGTTACATCTCTCTTACTGCACGATCTGAGGTTATCATCTCCTCTCTCTGCGCTCAGTTCTCACTCTTGCACCAAGAGGGACGGGATGGGCTCATCCATCTCTCAAGTTCCATGGCTAATTATACACATTGGCTATTCAATCAAATTGATGAGATTTAAATCCAACTCGATGGCAGTCCCACAGCTGGTACCCTGTAGTAACAGAAGGGCAGAAGAGGGGACCCAGGGAAGATCCAGTTTCTCCTGATCAAGCTTGACACATAAGGGGAGACCATATCCTGGTAGGTCTCAGTTCTACTGAAAACAACTTCCTTGAGCATTTTTTCAATTAGGAAATATAAATAAATAACATTTACTGAACATTTAATATGCTAGTTGTGAATATTTTACAGACAATTAATGTATTAAATTCTTACAACCTCTT